AGAGCTAGAAACAAATTGTCCAAGCAAACACACAGAAAAAAAAAAGCCGGGGTAGCAGCACTCATATCAAACCAAATACACTTTTAAAAGGGGGCCATGAAAAGAGACCCAGAAGGTCACATCATAATACTCAAGGGAAGAATCCACCAAAAAACATAAACATTGTAAATATATATGCACCCAACATATGAGCACCCAAATATATCAAGAAAATCTTAGAGGACTTCAAGAAAGATATTGATAGCAACACAATTATACTTGGGGATTTAAACACCCCACTGTCAAAAAGGACAGATCTTCCAAACAAAATATCAACAGAAATATTGTGGCATTGAACAATGCCCTGGATGAAATGGATTTAACTGATATATAGAGAGAGCCCTTCATCCCAAAGAAGCTAAATACACTTTCTTTTCAAATTCACATGAAACATTTTCAGGATAGACCACATGATAGAACACAAAACAAGCCTCAACAAATTTAAAAAAAAATGAAATCATCCTAAACATTTTCTCCAACCACAAGGGACTGAAACTGGAAACCAGCCCCAAGGGAAAGGACCCAAATTACTCAAAATCATGGAGATTGAATAGCATGCTATTAAACAATGAATAGGCCAGAAATGAAATTAGGGAAGAAATCAAAAGGTTTCTGGAAACAAATGAAAATGAACTCACAACAACCAAACTTATGGAACACAGTGAAGGCAGTCCTGAGAGGGAAGTTCATAGCAATTCTGGCCTATATAAAAAAAAGATAGAAATACTTCAAACAAACAACCTAACCCTACGCCTATTAGAACCCGAGGAACAACAACAAAGACAGCCCAGCACAAGTAGAAGGAAGGAACTAACCAAAAACAGAGCAGAATTAAATGATATAGAGACTAAAAGCACAATTTAAGTATCAAAGAATCCAGGAGCTGTTTTTTTGAAAAGATAAGAAAAATAGACAAGCCTTTAAGCAAGCTCATCAAGAAAAAAAGAAAGAGGACCCAAATAAACACAATCAGAAATGAAAGAGGAGAGATTACAACTGACACCACAGAAATAGAAGGTATTGTAAGAAATTACTATGAAGAACTGTATGCCAAGAAATTTGAAAACTTAGGTGAAATGAACGAATTTCTAGAAAAATAGAATATTCCAAAACTCAATGAAGAATAAGCAGAAAGCTTGAACAGACCAATAACAGCAAATGAAGTTGAAACAGTAATTAGAAATCTCCTGACGCACAAAAGCTGTGGACCAGATGGTTTCACAATAGAATTCTACAAAGCATTTCAGAGCTAACTCCTATTCTTCACAGACTATTTCAAAAAATCCAAAATGGTGAAAGACTCCTAAATTTTTTTTATGCAGCCAGCATCATCCTAATCCCCAAACCAGATAAAGACACAACAAAGAAAGAAAACTTCAGGCCAGTATTGCTGATGAACATAGATACTAAAATCCTTAACAAAATATTGGCAAATGCATCCAACAATACATTAAAAAGATCATATACCATGATCATGTGGGATTCATCCCAGGGATGCAAGGATGGTTCAATATATTCACAAATCAGTAAATGTAATACATCACATAAACCAAAGCAAACAAAATATCACACGATCATATCAATAGATGCAGAAAAAGCTTTTGATAAGGTACAACACCCATTTATGATAAAAACATTCAGCAAAGTGGGAATAGAGGGAGCATTCCTCAACATAATTAAGGGCATTTATGAAAGATTTATAGCAAATAACATACTCAATGTGCAAAAACTAAAAGCTTTTCCACTATTATAAAGAACAAGACAAGGTTGTCCACTTTCACCACTTCTTTTCAATATACTATTGGAAGTTTTAGCCACAGTGATCAGATAAGAAAAGGAAATAAAAGCCATCCAAATTGGAAAGGAAGAAACAAAACTGTCACTGTTTTCAGATGACATGATAGTGTACATGGAAAATTCTATAGACGCTACTCAAAGACTGCTCGACCTAATAAATAAATTTGGCAAAACAGCAGGATACAAAGTCAATATCCAGAGATCAAAGGCATTTTTGTACATCAAAAATGAATCAGCAGAAGTAGAAATTTTAAAAAATCTCATGCAATGTAGCAAAAAGAAAAAATATCTGGGAATAAACCTAAGCAACCAGGTAAAAGACCTGTATACATAAAACTACACAACATAAAGAAAGAAATCAAGAAAGACAGAAACAATTGGAAGCATATACCATGTTTATGGATTGGAGAATTAACATCATCAAAACATCCATACTACCCAAGGCAATTTAGAGATTCAATGCAATACCTATTAAAGTACCAATGACATACTTCGCAGACATAGAACAAACACTTGGAAATTTTATATCAAACCATAAATGACCCCAAATAGTAGCTGCAATTTTGATAAAAAAGAACAAAGTAGGAGGCATCACAATACCTGATATCAAAATGTATTACAAGGCCACTGTAATCAAAACAGCCTGGTACTGGCCTAAAACCAGGCACGTGATCCAGTGGAACAGAACAGAGAGCCCAGAAATAAACCCCAGTCTCTACAGTCAATCAGTATTCAACAAAAGGGGCAGCAACATAAAATGAAGTAAAAATAACCTCTTCAACAAATACTGTTATGAGAACTGGACAGCTACGTGCAAAAAAAAAAATGAAACTTGAGCACCAACTTAAATCATACACCAAAATAAATTCAAGGTGAGTAAAAGACTTAAATATAAGCCATGGCACCATTAAAGTCCTACAGAAGAACATTGGCAAAAAAATCTCAGATATTTCACACTGCAATATTTTTAATGATATGTCCTCCTAGAGCAAGGAACATAAAGGAAAGAATAAACAAATGGAATCTCATAAAAAATAAAAGATGTTGCACAGCTAAAGAAAACAGTAATAAAATAAAAAGAGAACCTACTATATGGGAAAACATATTTGCCAATGATACCTCAGACAAGGGCTTAATCTCCAAAATATACAAAGAACTTATACAACTCCACTGTAAGAAGACCAGCAACTCAATTAAAAAGTGAGCAAAGGACTTGAATAGACATTTCTCCAATGAGGACATACAGAACATCCAGAGACACATGAAAAGGTGCTCAGTATTGCTAGCTATCAGAGAGATGCAAATTAAAACCACAATGAGATGCCACTTTACACAGGTCAGAATGGACATCATAAACAAATCAACAAACAACAAATGTTGGAGAGGTTGTGGAGAAAAGGGGACCCTAATCCATTGTTGGAAGCAACCTAGGTGCCCATCAGTAAATGAATGGATCAGAAAACTATGGTACATTTACACAATGAAATTCTATGCAGCAGAAAGAAAGAAGGAGCTCTGACTCTTTGCAACAGCATGCATGGAACTGGAAAGCATTATGCTCAGTGAAATAAGCCAGGTGTTGAAAGACAAATACCATATGATCTCACCTTTAACAGGAACCTGAACAACAAAACAAACAAGCAAGCAAAATATAACCAATGTCACTGAAATAGAGAACAGGCTGACAGTGACCAGAGGGGAGAAGGGAGGGAATTTCAGGGGAAAAGGGGAGGGATTTACAGAAACAAGCATAAATGACATATGGACAAATACTAAGGGGGGTGGACATGGGAGGCAGGTTGGGAGCACTGGGTGGGTGGGCTGGGATTGTAGTAAAAAACAGAAAACTGTACTTTAACAATTAAAACAAATAAATTTAAAAAATATAAACAATAAAATGACAACAAACTCGCAGTTATTAACAACTGGGCTTAAAACAAAAACAAAGTAAGTAAACAACTAGAACAGGAACAGAAACACAGAAATGGAGATCACATGTAGGGTTATCAGCAGAGGAGTGGAAGGAGGAGTGGGGGGGGAATGCTACAGAGTATAAATAGCATAAATGTTAGGTAGAAAATAGAAAGGAGGAGGTGAAGAATAGTATAGGGGATGTAGAAGCCAAATAACTTATTATGACCCATGCACATGAACTAAAGGGGGGAATGTGAGTGGGAGGGGGTGTTCAGAGCAGAGGGGAATAAAGGGGGGAATAGAACATCTGTAATTGCATAATAAATAAAATATATTTTTAAAAGAACCTATAGAAAAAAACAACACATAGTGAGGATGCCTTAGCTTTACTTTTTTATTGTATTTTTATTACCCTTTATCTCCTTTATATCCTTTTCCACCTCCACCACCTCATTCTCCCCTACTATCACCACACTTTGTGTCCATGAGCCCTTTCTCTTTTCTGCTCTATCTATTCTGCAACACCCCTCCAGCTGTCAGCTTTCTATCTATGAGTCTGTCTCCACTTGGTTTTTAGTTAATTTTGTTCATTAGATTCCATATATAAGTTAAACCATATGGTGTTTAGTTTTTCTATGACTGGCTTGTTTCAGTTAACATAATGTTGTCCATGTCTATCCATGCTATTGCAAAGGGTAAAATTTTCTTCTTTTTTATGGCTGAGTAGTATTCCATTGTGTAAATATCCTATAGATGTTTTATCCATTCATCTACTGGTGGACACTTGAGCTACTTCCAAATTTTGGGTATTGTAAATAACACAACAATGGACTTAAGGGTTCTGATATTCTTTCAAATTACTGTTTTAGATTTCTTCAGATACATTTCCAGGAGTGGAATCACTGGGTCATAAGGCATATCCACTTTTATTTTTTGAAATATCTACATACTGTTTTCCCCAATGGTACCACCAGTTTGCATTCCCACCAACAGTACAAAAGGATTCCCCTTTCTCCAGAAAGATGTCTTATCTTTAGTAAAAGAAAGGGCTTCCTGTGGTGACACTGAGGCCAGAAGTGGTAGAATTGAGGTGTCAGCTCAGTCAGAAGCACAAATTGAGAATTATATGTATTTGACTATAACATCAGTGGTACAATAAATGTGAGACTGCAGGTAGTGATCAGGAGTTAAAATTGTCTTTGTTTTATCACTGCTGGGACATTGCCTTGGGTCCCTGCAAGCACATTTCTATGACCATCTTCAACATGACAGGCAGTACTATCTCTAAGGTTCCTACTATGTTGGTGTGTATCATGGCTTGGCAATCCATTTGGACAGAAATTATTTTTGGAATACAACCCTTCCCAAAGTTTAAAGAACTAGAAGCATATTCTTAGACAAAATCAATATTGGAAATCATTGCCATGGTTCTTGGTTAGCAACAGGGGGAGGGTATATAGGGTAGTGATGGTAGTGGTAGTAATATGGAAGGGAAAACAGTGCTTATCATTTTTTTCTTTTATTTGTCCTATTTGCTATTTTACTTTGTGCCTGTGCATATTATTTATATTATTTTAATATGCAGCCTGATTCATAGTTTTTAAAAAAGTTGTTTTGGTTTTGACACTTTGTTACCGCAACATCTTTCAAGATGTTAGAAAGTTCAAGCCAGAAATTCCATCAGGGTTTCACGTATCTCATTGGGAAACTCATGGGTTTGGCATTCACTATTTATAAGTGCCAGTCTATGGGACTGTTGCCTACACATGCATCAGGTGAATTAGCCTTCAATTGAGCCCCTGAAGTAAGGCAAAAAAAAGTTAACTTTGGGACCAGTTGTAACGGGCAGTAAATAGGTGATCCCTTTGATGGTGGATTAGAGTTGGATTTAGAGCTCACTTCTATTTCTTCATTTTTTAAGATTTTATTTTTAGAGAAAGGGAAAGGGAGGGGAGAGAGAAACATTAATGCTAGAGAGAAACAGCAATCAGTTGCCTCTCACAGTGCCTCAACTGGGGACCAGCCTTCAACCCAGGCATGTGCCCAAACTGGGAATCAAACTGGTGACCTTTGACTTTGTGGAATGACACCCATGTAACAGAATCACACCGGCCAAGGAAGAGCTCATTTCTTAAGAAATAAGATCCATTGGGAGTTTGGAAGTTATTTTTTAAAGATTTTTTATTTGTTCTTATAGTGTGGGGAAAGAAGAGAGAGAAACATTGGTATGAGAAAGAAACATCAGTTAGTTGCCTCTTGCACACTTCCAATGGGGAGCCTGGCCCACAACCCAGGCATGTGTCCTGATGGGGAATCAAACTGGTGACCTTTCAGTTTGCAGGGCAATGCTCAACCCACTGAGCTATACCAGGCAGGACTGGAAGTTATTTTTTAAGGATAAAATAACTTGTGATTAAAGTATTATATTAAGTACTTGATTCAAGAAGTTATTCCATTGCTCATTCCTACTCACCTATTTTACTTTCTTGTTTTGGAGGATGGAGTTCAGCGGTGAAGGATTACTTTTGTAAATCTGAGAAACAGCTGGTACCTATGCATTTGGATCTCATTCACAACTTTCTCTATGTCCAGAGACTCCTCCTCAGGATATTAACCCCTAACATTATCACTCATGCTGAAAAGAACCAAAACCACTCTTTTCTCCATGGTGAGGAGACACCCTAGAAAGAATGTAGTATCACTACAAACATAAAGAAACTACCACAACCCTTGACTGAAAATAATGTAGAAAACTTTATGTTTCTAATATAGGGCAGAACAACAAATAAAACCGTAACTGTATATAAACAAAAGAATGGTTGCTGCTAAATTGGGAACCACAGCAGCATCTCCTTTCAATAAATGAAATGGTCAAGAACAGTGCTTTAAAAATTTGTACATATTTCTCTTAAATCTATTTTCCTTAATATTTCACTTCTATTTTTGACAAGCTAGGATATAAAATTTCTGTTGGAGACACTTGTAGAAGATGCAAGAAACTAATGCTGGATTCTGATTATACATGATGAAAAGGAAAATAAACCAGTCAAAAAGAGCAAATATAAAAAAGAACCTATTGCAAATCTTCAGTTAATGTTGATATGTTCATGATATAATATAAATTATTCCATCTCTGTAAGATTTTACTTATTATGACCTGGAAATCTTTTCTTTTGTCAATGTAAGAAACATTCAAACCTGTAGAGTTTTTACAAAAGCTTAGTTGAGCCAAACCAATGGCATATGCTAGAGAGCACGATTTCAAATACTCCCAAGAATTACCAGTTTTTCAGCTTAAAAAATCATTTTATTGTTCAAGTACAGTTGTCTGCATTTACCCCCCATTACTCCTCCCTACCCCAGCCATTCCCACCTCCCTCCCCTCCTTCCACCTCCCCTTCAGTTTTGTCCATGTGTCCTTCATAGTTGTTCCTGAAAACCCTTCCCCACTTTACCCCCATTATCCCCTTACACCTCCCCTCTGGTTACTGTCAAATTGTTCTTAATTTCAATGTCTCTGGTTATATTTTGCTTGCTTGCTTGTTTTTTTGATTATGTTTCACTTAAAGGTGAGATTATATAGTGTTTGTCTTTCACCACCTGGCTTATTTCACTTAGGATAATGCTCTCCATTTCCTTTCATGCTGTTTGCAAAGGATAGGAGCTCCTTCTTTCTTTCTGCTGCATAGTAGTCTATTGCATAAATGTACCACAGTTTTTTATCCATTCATTTACTGATGGGCACTTAGGTTGCTTCCAAAATTTGGCCATTGTAAATTTTGCTGCTATGAACATCGGGGTGCATAGGTTCTTACAGATTGGTGTTTCAAGGTTTTAGGATATAATTTCAGCAATTCCACTGCTGGGTCAAAAGGCAGAAAATTAAAAATGGAACTGCCTTTTCAGCTTCCTTTATGCATTTAAATTTGAGGGAACATAAAGAAGATTATATGGAGGTGGCAAGGCAGAAATTGTATTACAAGACAATTAACAAGATTATGTACCCTCTTGAGGGTGGTCACAATTTAAAAAAGCATTCTGAAAAGAAGTATTTCAAAGGTGTGTTAACTTAGATGCACAGAAATAATGGGCAGGGATTGCTTAAGACAAAGTATGCCTTTTACTGATGTGCCTGCAGTGTAACTTCCCACCCTGACATACCCAGTTATACATTTATGACTAGCTCACTTTGTGAGGTTACTTTTCATAAACCCCCTCCATAGTTTGGTCTGCAGTTCCCATTTTAGGTCATAAATCACTCTGAAAGATGCATTGATGACCAGGGTTCTGGTTGGATAGTGTGGGCTCATACACATCATCTAGTTGACCACTGAGAATGGGACAATACCATAACCATCAGATCTTACTTGAGGCTGAATTTTTCCCCAAAGAGAAGGGCAGGTAAATAGAAAACAGTCAGGGCTTATCACCTTCATTGTGAAAAAACACTCTGGATCATTTCTATTTTGTGAACTATCATGATCTGAGTTTTGCCTTCTATCTCATTTTTCTGTATTTTGCATCTAGTATAACATTTATGTAAGCCATAAAAAGAGTATTAAAAATTATGTTACATATGTTCTGTAGCTTGGCAATATTGTAAGTTGACTTCTTTCAATAATGCCAGCTTATAAATTCCTTCATCTAAGTCCAGGTTAAGTCTACTGTGATGATGACAGGTATCTGGGAAGACCAAGTGGCCAAGTTTTTCATCATTTATTTTACAATATTTCCTATGAAATTTGACACATAAAAAACAAATCTTTTCATGTGTAACAGGGCCATTCTGGAACACCACAAGGGTATTCCTACATATATTAAAGATTTTAACCCTTAAAATTTCAATTTCTAATAAAATCTAAGAAGTAAGTAATTAGCATTCTTTAGCCTGACAACTTTATAAAGACATTTTATAACCTCTAGAAACATAGGCCCTTTTACTGAAAAATATACTTAAAACATATAGCACATAGAAACATATTTCATAGACATTAAGGTCAATATAAACATGGACTTATTTTTGTAAAATCTAGTCAAAATAAAAGACATATCTGTTTTACTTAAACCAAGAAAGTTAACTTCTACTTACTAAGGATTACTTAGATCACATGAACTTAAAAGGCATTTGAGTTAGCTTCTACATTTAAGAGAATTTAAAATTATTCATCCTCACAAGTGCTTGCCTTTAAATTAATTTTAATGATATTATCTGGAGGTTAAAAATTATTTCACATTTATACTGTACTTATATAAATGTACATAGACAGACACGAAGAGCAGTAGAATCCAAATTTTGTTTTTAAGCATTTATAATTTATATTTGTCCTTGACAAGTCAAATTACAAATGACCTTCCCTCATTAAAAATAAGGGCAGCCATTTTCAATATCTGAAAGAATTGGATTGACACCTAAATGGTGTATACAATATATTGATTCGTTTATGTAAATGCTCTCTTTAAAGCTTTGAGAAAGACCAATTCAAAATGCTTTTCACTTTTCTGCTTAATTTTATAGCCAGCTTTTTCTAATTGTGTGCCAAATATTAATTTAGAAGCACTGAAAGATCATCTCAGCCATCTTAGTATTAATGGGGGCTGCCTGTCCTGGGGTTTGTAAGCTTTGGAGATGCAATTTCCCATAGTAATTTTAGTTTTTCCTTTGAGATCATAGAGTCTGGACAAATTTCTAGAGAAAACCAGCCTTTACATATACTTTTCCAGATGATCCAATGCCAGTGCACTAAATATCCCAATAACATAGCTTTACACACTAGAGAAAAATTTCCCTCAGGCAACCCAATGAAGAATCTTAGTCACCTAAGAAAACCTGCAGAAGGGCCAGCAAGTCTTACCATATACCAGAACTGTGAGTCTTACCAGAGCACAGGCCTCTCTCATGGGGTGAAACCATTCCAGAGCATCCTGCCCTTCTCCCCAGGGATCCCTCTGGCTTCTCCAAGATCATCTCTGCTACCACACTGGAGTATTCCCAGCATCCATCTCTGCCACTTTGGATGTGAAAATCTGAACAACTATCATCCCCCACTGGCTATTTGGGTTGAGGAAGTGTGTCTTTTCTCTTTCAGAGCTAAAGAGAGCTAAGCTTCTCATTTAACCAGACTAGATTTTGTTCAGGCTCCTAGTAAACAATTCAATTAAAAGCTGAAATAAAAAGCAGAAACCCATCCCCCCAGCATTATCTCAATATTTATCCACCTCAAGGATTTTTTAAGAACTGTTCAGATAAAGTCCTGGACCTGCTACTTAAAGCAAAGAAGCCCAGGAAATTGAAAAGAGCAGTAGAAAAGTCCCAAGTGAGTACAAGAAAGGAAATAATAAAGATCAAAGAAGTAAATGAAACAGTGTTAAAAATCAATACAAAATATTAAAACAGCAATATAAAATATTAGTGAAACCAAGAACTGGCTTTTTGAAAATATACAGAAGATTGACAAACATTTAACCAGACTCATCAAAGAAAAAAGAGAGGACCTAAATAAACAAAATCAGAAGTGAAAGAAGAGAAGTAAAGCCTGGCATCACAGAAATACTAAGGATTTTAAGAAAAAAAATTATCAATACAACTATATGGCAAAAAATTTGGACAATCTAAAGGAAGTGGTTAAATTTCTAGAAACATACAATCTTCCAATACTGAATCAGGAAGAACTGTAAAATCTGAATAGCCTGATTACAACTAATGAAATTGAGGCAATAATCACAAAACTTCCAACAAAAATCCTAGACCAGATAGCTTCATAGGTAAATTTTAACAAACATTTAAGGCAAAACAAA